GATCCTTCAGTCACAGTGACAGTTGGTCTTTATTTTTGGACTTACCTGCTGGAAGTCCAGGCCACACTGGGCCACGGAGTAGAAGGGGTGGGGGGCAAAGTCAGAGGCTTCAAACACCTACAGCAGGGGGCGACAAACAGGAGAGCAGGACCGTGTTAGGGCTTCAGCAGACCACCGACCACAGACCACCCCGTCTGTCTGGAGCTGAAAGGGTTAAAAGCGGGGCTGCGTCACCTGGTTTCCAGCGATGTAGAGTGCAGCTGGTGGGGGGCTGGGGCGGTAGGGGATGGTGGCTCCTTTGGGTGGAGACTGAGGAGTCAGAGAGAAGGAGCTGCTTCAGTTCAACCTCCTCAACTACAATGTTGATTTGTTAATCAATTCATCATTCATTCATCCTGGAGGGAGGTGGAGCCAACCCCTGGGCCGCGGCCCACACCCTGGACAGTTCTGCAGTCCACCACAGGGTCACGCTCTCATTCACACCTTGTGTCATTGGGTCATTTTAAAGAGAACAATGAATTCAATCCTTGATCTGTGTGTGATGAAGGACCAGCAGCTGTGGAGCTGGGCTTTGAACCACTGACCTTCTTCTGTAAGGCAGCAGCTCTAACCACTCTCCTACAGAATCAGAACTGTCAAATCCGACCTCTTCCTGCGAAGTGAGAACTTCTGCATCATTTAAGTCCAGGTCCAAAGAGATGGTTCCTCCAGAATACTAACACCAGGAGGCGCCGTAGGAGGAAAACTGGATGGAACTGGTTTAATTAGTCAGTCAGGTCCAGCTGCAGGCAGTGGAACAGAGAGGACTTGTTCACCTCAGTGAACACACTGGTCCAAACTGTCCTGACTCTGTCCATCACTGACAGATTCTGCCCCTAGTGGTTTTATGTTGAAAATCAGAATTTGTTTTCCACAGCCGTCAGCCTGAGGCAGACTGGTGGGTCCAGACCACGATCCTTCTGAACAGTTGTGTTCTGTTGTTCTGTTGTGGTTGTCATGTGACACACAATCACAACAGAAGTCACTGTGATGTAATCTGACCCCCCCGACCTCCGACCCCCACCCCCACCTCGTTTGAATTGGAGACCCCTACTTTAGATCAAGAAGGTCACTGGTTCAAGGCCCCTCTATCTAATGCTCTGAACGTGATTGTGAATGTTGAGGTTTTGCACTGACAGGCCAGTAGGGGCGCCGGTCGTGGACATACCTCCAGAATGACGGTGCAGATGAGTTTGACACACTGGATGACCGAGTCCTGACCCCCACAGACCGTCACTCCCCTCTCAGTGGAGTTAGGGAGCAGATCCCCGGCCACCTGGATCTGAGCCCCCGTACTCTGCACGAGAGAATTCAGATTCATGGGTTTCAACATTTCTTTGATGTGTGTGTGCGTGTGTGTGTGTGTGTGTCTGCAGGTGAACCAACAAACAAAACAGATGTGGGATTTGACGGTGAAGGAAAAAGTCCGACCACATCAAATCCCCGGCGTCACTGTGGGCTGGAGGTAAATACTGAAAAAGTCTATTTTTAGCTGCGGATCAGTCACATGACTCTGGCATCACCTCAGATATTTTTAAGCCTGGTTGTTCAGCTGGTATCAGCGGTTGCTGGTCCTCCCTCTCACTCACATCTTCTTCCTGCGGCGCTGGTTGGTACCGACCGCTGGTGCCGAGGAGGGACTTTAGACCCAGTACTGTTAGAAGGGACCACTGATGTGGGCGGTACTTTATACATCTGTCCACTTCACTGTCCCCCCAGTGGACAAACTCACCTCTCTGATCTCCTTTATCTTGGCCCCTCCCTTTCCAATCAGAGAGCCACACTGGCTGGCAGGGATGACCAGCCTGACGGTCACTGGAGGTTTGGTGCTGATGGTGCCGTTGGCCACCAGGGCGCTCAGGTCCTGGAAGGCAATGTCCAAGGAGTTGTTAGAATGGGTTTGACCTTTGACCTTCTTTAGATTTTGTTACATTTGTTTGTTTAGCCTCAGGACGTGACCAGTGATGGTATGACCAGTGATGGTATGACCAGGTGTGGGGGCGACCAGGTGTGGGGGCGACCAGGTGTGGGGGCGCCCCGTCTCCTCCTTACCTCCTCCATCTTGCAGGTGATCATGGTGAAGGCCCTGAAGACGCTGTCTGTGGAGCCACTGATGGTGATGATCCTCTCTGGACAGGAGCCCTCAGAGATGTTGACCCGAGCGCTGCTCTGTGGACACACAGGTGGTCAGTAGGGCTCTGATTGGTCGGAGGAAACACTGTCAACACCCACACAACACC